CACATAGCAAAGGTGTAAAGTTAAGAATTTTGCAACAAAAACATCAGTTCAGTGATAAAGGCCTAATTCAAATGTATGATAATGTGTTTTGTGTCAACCCCTATAACAAAATAAGTTTTCAAATAAAACACTTTGGCCTAGGGCAATCAAGTAAATATATATTTGTTATTATAGGATATAAAAGTGCTATATATATATATAGATATAAAATAAGAAGATGTGGTACGATTGCCAATGAGACAACTATCCAGCAGACTCCAAATGACTAGGATTTAAACTGTTACAGAGTTTTTCTCCTCGTATTTATAATTAAAATTGTTCAGAAGCTTTTTCCAAGTTTTCTATTGGCAGATTGTTAGGAAAACAATAGTGAAATATCAAACATGCACTGCCTATTTGATAAGAAAAATCATATATATATATATATATATATATATATACATGTATATGTTAATAGAATATGAAAAAGGAAACTTTTCATTACATCTACTGTAAAAATTAAAAAAATCATGTGTCCATGTATGTAAATGAAATATATCTGCACTGGATGTTCTGTGATAGTCTGTTTTCTGCTCTTTGGTCGGGTTGTTGTCTCTTTGACACATTCCCCATTTCCATTCTCAATTGTCTTTTTGTTTCATTAGCAAGATTTCTTTAGAACATGCATGATGTAATTGATATAAACCTGGAGGCTACCAACTTATACTATACAATTGTCTATGATGAATATATAAAGGTGCAAGCCCTGTGTGTGCCCATTGTACCTATGTGTATCATATGTTCATTTATACCTTTATACCGTTTCGATTCCTAACATCACTGAAGAGACATTAATTGTCGTAATCCGTATATGGTGTACTAATTTTTGCACCTTTTGTTTCCGGTAAACCATCTTTTCCGCAAGTTTATTGTTTTCTGTTTGGTATTAAATTAATAAATAAGATCCCTTTTGTTACATCTGGTGATCCGTTTATTTGGCAATTGTCAATGGCAGTCAGCAGGGTTAAAGAACATCCGTTGTTCGACCTGCTAGTCAAATGCGTTTTGTTAAAATATACTTTTTCACTTTTTTGGTCTTTTGGAAAATGTTGTTTGTGCTGTATTTAGACCCCTCTACCAAGAAATTTGTTTTGCATGCACACGTATAAAAATTGCAGTTTTTATCCAAGCAATCATAGGTTTGAACGTTGTTTTCAATTTAGACTTGTTTATATGTTCATTTATATATATACCGGTATATATATAAAATAGACACCTAAATTGCAACCCATTGGAAGCTGAGAGGTTTTGTTGATGTTTGATGTTAGTCACACATAATAGACTTCAAGGAGGGGTTCGATTCCCAGTGTCAGAAGGCATATAAAAATTACAAAAGTTAAAGGTAAATTTTTAAATTAATTCCATTAGAGAACAGAAATTAGTAGATTAACCAATTCAAACTTAATGAAATTAGGCACACAAAGTAAACAATTGAATATAATTTGGTAAGTCCATTTCAGCGACAGATTTAGGAAGCGTTGATTCTAGAAAAAGAAACCACAGTAAATGAAAAGGCTGACATCATAGCAATGGTTTAGATGTTGATATGGTCAAATGATATGGTCAAAGGTTACAAATTTTCAATTTGATTTCTGTCCTGACTCCTATTTACTTTTTATAGACCTTTTATTGTTTACCAGTGTCTGTCTGTCCGTTAACACTTCGTACATTAACTCAAATTCACTATAACCAGTTCTATTACTTTACTAGTATTAAGTAACACAAGACTGGAATTGACAGAAGAAATCTCCCTTTGGAACTTTGACCCTAAGATTTAAGGCAATTCCTTGTTTAGTTGAGAAAAGGATGAAATTGAATTTTCAATCATCTAAAAATGATTCTCAATGGTAATTATCTGTATAAAAAGTATATATTTAGCTATAATACTATGAAACTACAACAAGTCATTACTATTATGTGTATAAATAAGCTAAACAATTATATTGCCCAGTATTACTTGTTTCTAGGAGTATTGCCCAGCCTGGGAAAACCCTGGGCCCAGGTAATACTTTGTTAACCCTGCAATGTTTGGTTATGATAATGAAAAAAAGCTCCATTCTATTTCAACAATTTCAACAATTTCAGCTTCATAGTTGTAATAATTTGTTAAGCATTTGACAATTTGCATCTCTGGTTCTCAGGTTAACTTAGGTTTCCTATATTTGATATTAAGGAAATTTTTACACAAAGTTTTGTTTCATAATGATTATTGACAAATTTCTTTTTTATTTTTAGATTTTCCAGTCTGACTTTTTGGACTTTACTTGTTATAAAAAAAATTACATTTTTGAACATTTCTGTGTCAACATAAGATCTTTTAAATTATTCCAAAAAGGCAGGCTTCTGTTTCAATTTTGACAAAATTTAGATTGTTCTTTAAGAGATATGGATTTTCAGTCCTTTAATATGCACATCTTACAAAAACCCAAATTTTGTACAATTAAACTGGTATTGGTACCTAATTCGTATGCTATATTTGGTTCAATTATTACAAGCTCCCTGTAGATGATTTGATTTTTCTACTTGTGGATTGTTTCTTTTGTTACCTATTCTGACATCTGACTCGGACTTCTTTCAAACTGAGTTTTACTGTGCGTATTGCTGTGTGTTTATTTATTCTACATTGGCTAGAGGTATAGGGGAGGGTTGAGATCTCACAAAACATGTTTAACCCTGCCGCATTTTTGCACCTGTCCCAAGTCAGGAGCCTCTGACCTTTGTTAGTCTTGTATGTTTTTTTAATTTTAGTTCATTTATATGTTTTGGAGTTTGATTTGACATCCATTTTCATTTAATTAGTACACATTTTGTTTAGGGGCCAGCTGAAGCCCGCCTCCGGGTGTGGGATTTTCTCACTGTGTTGAAGACCCATTGGTGGCCTTCGGCTGTTTTCTGGTCTTTGGTCGGGTTGTTGTCTCTTTGACACGTTCCACATTTCCATTTGCAATTAATTAGTTATGAGCCGTTTTTTTCCATGAAAGTTATGGACAATTTTTCATAAATTTTTAAGAGTTGTATCAGGTACAGTTTTTTCTGCTTGAGAAGTATTTTTTAATTGTCATGATGTAAAAGTGGAAAATCCTAAATCCACTATATGTAAGCACTGTATTTACTTTCCAGAAACATAGAGTTCTACTTTTAAATTTGATTATTTGATATAGATTATACAGGGTAAAACCATTCTCTTGGGTGAATAAAACTAAAATTTAAAGGTAAAAGTTAAATTTTAGAATTTACTTTTAATATTAACCCCTTTCCAGAAATTTAAGGAAAATAATGTGGGTACCTGTTCCAATGTTTCCTTACGTTAGAACTGGTTGCTTTCCATTAAATTGTCCAATTCAAAGCGAAACGAATGTTCTGACTTTTTCTGAGTGACCTTAACTTTCAGCTTTACCTTTTTTTTTCTAGTTTTTAGAATTAGCTTGTGAACTGTCACAATATGTTCAAAGCTAGGCAAGCACTCTTTGATTGGTTTTAACTTTTCCTTCTTTAAACACCAATATTCCAAATTTGGTTGTTAGCATGAATGATGCCAGGTACCTACTTGGATCATATGTATAGCTGGGCTAATATAAGTATGCACTAGCTAATACTGTACATCTGGTTAAAACTTGCAGAAATGTCACTAATAAATGTTTTGATAGTGAAAAAATCTTAAAACAATAACTTCCAGTTCCAGGCCAAGTATTCACTAAAATAGGAAACATATATATCATAAAAATCTGGATTTTTCACTTGATTGGTCTTTAGAAGAATATCATAAACATGTACACATAGTTATAACTAATTTCCTTCAAATAAGCCTTTTGGTATCTGTGTGTTCAGCTAGGTCAACTGTCAATGTAGGCTACAGCAAACTACACCATCCAGGACAAGAAATGGTATTAAAAAATCATGAGAATTGACATCTTTTCATGATAGGACAGATTGGAGCATGGTTCATTTTTTTAGCATATGAAAAGTAAAAAGTTTATATAAGTTGTATGTTTTGATGCAAATTTCCATGGTTTGTAATCCTTTTTATTACAGGTCTAATAAGACACTTTACAGGTATGAAGGGTATGAAAGGTCATGACTGTTACATTAGCAAGACAACTGTTTCTAATCATCTGTGGAATGATGCCATGTACATGAACATGTAGTACTATACATGTAGCTTGAGTACTTGAAATTTTGTATTCCTTTAAGCTTTTCTTCATGTGAAAATTTCTTGGTACATGTACTATTTACGGTACAATAATATTGAAGTAGAGAATTTGGAACTTCCTTAAACTTTTATTCATGTGAAAATTTCTTGGTACTATTACATTAATATTGAAGCAGATCGAGACATACATACATATATATTGTCTCTGATTGAAGTTACCCAGGTTTGACTTCAACAGTATTGAATTATTAGTCAAGTTTATGGCTATATGTTTGCTGTTTTTGGACTTGTTAACTGGTAATCTTTCAAGTTTCATTGACACGGATTATGTCTATCAAATTTTGAATGAGCAATGAAAGGGAGATAACAAGATAGAGAATTATAAAATACTGAAACATCTAAGTCAGTTTAGGAATGTTTTCAAATTTACATGCCTATATAGAGTGTTAATTTAATAGGTCTAGCAACTTGCATATCAATATCATTCAATGTGTATCGTGTGTTGCAATATAATGCTTCAATAAACAATGAAATTTATTGAACACTTCAAATGTGTAAAGTTATCGAGTATCATGTAGGGTGGCCTATTGCCAAATGAAATATTTGATTGAACTGTTTGATAAGATTTTTCTGTGGGATTTTAACACTATATCTTTAAATTGGTCTTGTTTAAATACTATGGGTTTTAATTCTATGACACTGTGTCAGAATCAGAAATATTATGACCTTGTGTTTCCCCCTTTTAGATTCAATCGGAATCAAATCGGTAAATCTTGTAATATTGATATTAATAATATTTTTTACAATTTAAATGCTGATTGGATTTGAAAAAGTGAGGCATTCTTCTATAGTTGTACATTTTTTAGAAAACATCAACATATTGCTTTGATAGGTAAATATAATTAACATTGAAAACTTCAGTTTTATCAAAGGAACAGTACGATATATTTCATTTATGTTTATCTTTTGTTGAGGATTAATATGAAATTGTGTTAGATCAATATATGACATTTTGATTTTTACCACTTTAAAATTGTTCGGTTTGAATAGTTTTCAGGTCAAAATAAGAAACATGATATGTCGTAAGTCTGTTACGTTACAAGTACTTTATTTAATTTCTTTTGTTCTTAACAAAAAACAATAATGAAAATATTTATTTATGAGATTATATTACCATTCATGTCAACTCTTTCTATTTGTAGCTAATTTTTACCAGACAATTAACAAAATGTAAAGAGAGGAACCTCAAGCTTCAATATAATCAGAAAAAAATCTATGTGAATTATAGATATGTGATATTTTAAATGGAGAAAATAAATTGAATTTCATAAGACTAATCATGAGGAATTTACCACCAAATTCTCCGGATTTGCCAGTGACTAGAAATATGCCATTCACCACAAAAAGTGTTCCTAGCAAAGCCCAGCCACGCAATATGACTGGTATTTATCTTGGTTTGGTAAGTAAAACTTTTTTTATCACTTTCAGGAATTTTGATACATCCTAACAAAACATAATATCAGAGATAGTGACAAATGCAGTTAAAACTTTTATGTTCATTTGACGCTAAAGGTAGTGAAAAGAGGGCATTTTACATGAACAATGGTCAAAAAAAAAAAAAAAAGAATAGAGAAAAATAGGCACAAAAATTAAGAATAGAGAATAATGTGGTGTTAGAATATAAAGAATAGAGAATAATTGGCAAAATATATAAAGAACAGAGAAAAATGGTCAAAAAAATTAAAGAATAAAGATATGAAAAAAAAAACATACAGACCCTAATGTATTACTACATATCTTATTTTTCAATTTCCAGGAAGGGAACATAAAACCTCCAACTGTAAAAACAACAGTGGGCATTTCTCCATTGGCAAGAGGTAGAAGAATTTCAAATAGGATACGCACACCCACAGAACAAAGACGATATGTAAGTTCTTAAAGGAAGGGGCACAAAAAGGATTACCGTAATCAGAATTTTTTTATTTATACATTTTGAGAAAAAGAAACAGCTTTTGTCTTTTCAGCAGTGTATCCTTGCCAATAAGTCCAGATCAGTAAGATAAAAGTATTACAAGATAAAAGAACTAAATAGTTTAATTTAAAAAAATCTTTTCATTATAAGTTACTTCCCTTGTATATAAATCTTTTTGTGAGAAGTTTTACAGGAAAACAAATCACTGTAAGGAATAATACAGCAGATGACTAAAAAAATGTGACAGAAATGCAAAAACAATAGATTCTAGAAGACATGAAGTCATGCACTTGTTGTTTTAATTTTTGATTTGAGTGATTTTTGGGGTTTCCCATACCAAAACATGAACTTTGCCATTTCTGCTTCATAATATATTATGTTTAGACAGCAGCCGACACACATCTTCCTTGGAATTTTTTATTTTAAGTTATATACTAAACTCAGACCTCTCTCTAGCGCTAGGAAAACATTTTACAAAGAATTTCTATAAACCATCTGTTAAATTATTTTAGAGCAAGGAGGAACAAAGAAAGGTAAAATTAATTGTTTTTTTTCACATTTTGCTATTTCTAGTATTTAGTATGTATTTGATATCTACTGTGGTATTGGAAAGTAACTTTTTTATTTCAATTGTTTTATGGGTCCGTAGCACCTGCATTTGTGATTTTTACCTTTTCCATCCACCATTATATATATAATTAATATATCTTTTTTATTGATGGTTTTATCTTTTGTGCAACAGAATTGTGAAAGATAGACCTGCATAATGATTTTGTTTTTGGGCATGTCAACTTTGCACTTGATATTTGAGAGCACCAATTGCAGAAGCTGCACATCACATCTAAGTAATATGGGTCTTAAGATCTATGTTATCCCAAGAATATAAAGCTTTTGTTCAAATATACTTTTATAATTTTTGACCCGTCCATCCCGTCTGTCTGTCCTTCAGTCTTGTTTTTGTCATCACAACTCCTCTAAAACCAAACAACAGAATTTTATGAAACTTTGTAGATAATAAGGAGATACTAAGTTGATGTGCATGTATACAGGATTTTATGATGATTCAACTTTTTTTCTAGGAGTTATGCCCCTTTGAACTTTTGTAGGAGTCTTGAGTCTTTGAACTTAGAAATCTAGTGAGATTTTGTTTGCGTAGTGACAATGTTAGGGCGTGGGGTATATGAACATGATTTTAAACAAGTCACCAAGAAGAAGAGTTAATTTTTCGTAGAAGTTAGATTTTGGCAGAAATTCATGCATATTTGCTTTTACCAAACTTCCAGCACATTTTAGAAAGCACAAAATTAAATATATGAAATGTTTTATACCTCAGTAGATATTTTCTTTAAATTTGAAGTGTTTTAGGTGTTATCACACTATTCCACACCAATATATCACTAATAAATGAATTATAGTCTTAAACGGTCATTTTAATCTTGACAACATCTGAAAAACATTCATTTCTGGAGTTTAAGTTACTTCTCAATATTTTCGTGTTGTAAATTCAGTACTATTTAGAAGTATGGCTTACAGTCAATCCAGTACCTATACTGTTTAGTAGCTTTTCAGACAATTCAGAATGCTGTTTTGTACAGATAAATACTGAACCCTACTGAATTTACCACAAATGATAAGTCTGGAAATCAAATTAAGGACTGAGCATGATGTTTACTAGTGTAAGTGATTTAACAAATTTGCAATTTTATCTTGTTTAGTTGTCATGGTAAGTTGCCATATTGAAAACATTTTTTATGCCCCCGCCGTAGCGGAGGGGCATTAAGGTTTACCCTTGTCTGTCCATACGTACATCCTGAAATTGATTTCCGTTCTCTAACTTTAGTTTGCCTCAACCAAATGTTATGACTCTTATACACAATGCTTATTACCACAAAACTCAGATCAAACTCGAATTTGGGTGGACAGGCACTTTTAACGTTCTGGAGTTGTGTCCCTTTATAATGTTATTTTTTTTACCATCTTTCAATGTTATGATGACAAGTTTGTGATTAGGTATGTTGACTCCTATATTTGTAGACTCTAAACATCATTGGGATATAGAATTAAATCAACCTAGGCTTCATAGTTCTGCTGTGGTGGGGTGTCTACTAAAGCAAAAAAAAAGCAGAAAAACAACATCTTCTTTAACTTAATGGGGGTATTCTAAGGCATGTGTAATTTGGATGCTTTTCTCTCATGTATTTTTTTCCGTATATTCCACAAGCTGAAGACCCTGGGAAAATTCTGCTATATATAGTTTTTTTTTTCATTCTATCAACTGCACATAACTTTGTTCCCTAATGTCAGTCAACATTATCTCCCCTTGTCCTGGTACTTCCAGTTTTCAGATTCAACCAATTTAGAATTGATCTGTTGTTAACTTGTTAAGGTTGTTGCCTTAAATTTTAATTTATTTTTTGCTGAAAGACAGTTTATTGACCAACATCAAATGAAAAGATGTGCCCATATTTAGGGCGAGACATAAATAAGCCCTATAATGCCCCTTCTCCGTTTGTCCTTTGTTTTCTTACCACATTCACATTTTTTTCACTATGTACTATGATATTACAGACCCATTACTTACCACATTCACATTTTTTTCACTATGTACTATGATATTACTGACCCAAATAATACATTCTCTCCCCTTAATCAATCTCTCCTCCTTGCGATGTTAATGTAGCCATCATAGAGCAACGGAATATAACTTCTGAATTGTTTGGGTTATGGTATTACTGGTATTTTTGCTACTGTATTTAAAATGTCAGTCATGAAGCCAGCATTGTGTACATGTACTTACTAGTTTAGTAAACTGAATTTAAACTGTTTGTAGATAAAAAGGATAAATGGTATTGCCTGCCAGGATTTTGTTATTGTGATTACATTTTTATATAAATTGCTAGATGTTTGATTTTTTATTTTGTATTTGATTGAAAGATTACTATTCTAAGTAAAGGAAATATATAATTATGTAATAATGTTGAAATACAAGTTATAAAGATTCCTTTGATCCTCAAACATGCTTAAATCAAGCTCTATTTATTTTGTGATGCAATAATTATTAAGCTCATTTCATATTAATCTTCTGTCCTTAAATCAAAGTTCATTGAAATCGTTATGTTTCTATTCATATCAAAAAGCAAATTTTTCTTTCGTTTTTCATGATTTTTTATCTGAATTTTCTTTTCACTTTTTCTACATGTATATATACTAGACTGCAATTTTGCATATGAGAATATTGAAAATCAAAACTATCTCTTTATTGTTTAATGGAAGACGATTTTTAGAAAATCAGATAGGTCGAGTTTTATATAAGATTTTTTTACCAATTCTTATTTATCATATACTGTGAATTCACTTATATTTGTGGTAAGAATTTCCTTGAATTGAAGGAAAAATTATATTTTCATGGATACTTGATTTCATGGTTTTGCCAAATTCTTCAAACAATAATGATAGAAATTTGTATTTTGTTCAATATTTAAATAATGACTCATCTTTACCTATTAGATCAATGGAATTTAGTACCTAACAATAAATAATGAAGTCACATTATATATGAAGGATGTTGGCTGCTCTGTTTCAAAATAACAAACTTTTTAAAAGACTGTTATAAATTGTTAGTATATGAATAAAGGAACTAAAAAAGTAGAAAAAAATGAAGGGTCTGTGTGCTTGTTTTCGAGATATAAGCCATTGAAAATTTGGCAGGAAATTATTCTCTCTAGATTTGTCATACATATAACATTGGCACCTGTTTTCTTTCTAAAACTATGAAAAGATAACAAGGATTTTTTAAAGATTTTCAAATATGGCTTTTTAAACTATATGTAATAAAAGAAAAGTGGGGGTTAGCAGGCAAATTTTTTTAAAGGAACTACATGGATAAAACCAGAGGACAAGAGAAGCAAACATCCTTTTAAATTCAGTATACTATCATGACTATTGAAAGGAATTTTTTTTCGTATCTAATTTGCATCATCTAATGGATTAAATGTAAGAATTTTCTTCATGCATAATGAACATTGACATTTCTTGCCATCGGTCCTCCACCCACTGTAAGGTAATAAAACAGTAAAATGATTGTCATGTTCATTGTAATATGAATGAAAGGAAATTTGCTTTTTTTAATTAGACACTCTTGAGCTCTCAGCAACCAAACAATAAAAACATTAAAGACATTATAAAATCTTGTGTAGAAACTCCAATAGGAAACACATCTGACATTTTTGTAGTGTTTAAACCATTCTTCAAAGACGTTTCAGCAACTAGTCTCTTTCAGTTCCTTTATTATCCTTCTAACCTATATGGTAGACAGGTTACTTTTCACAATCATTTCGATGTGTAGTACAACGTAATGGCACAACATCTTAATAATTATGAAAAGACTTTTGCAGGATTTGATTTTTGTAGTACTGAATGATCTGTCTGTCATCTTTTTATGTATAAAACATGAATGTATATAAACACGCTATAAATATTATTTCAATGTTATATATCTCCCCAGGGAACCATTTTTGTGATGTTAAATAAGGAAGTAAGATAATTTGTAAAATTTCAAGTAGACAACCTACAATAATGTTTGTTTAAAAGAAAATGGCCAAGGTTTTTTAGAATTAAGGCTTGGTAACATGTGTCATATCACAGTTATTAAATTATTTTTCTGATGTTCAATAAATGAAAAATGTGATTTGTAGTTTTTAATTGTCTCGCCTTGATGGAGTCAAAAAGCGAGACTTAGGTATGCTGTTTCCGACAGTGGCGTCAACAATGCATTAGTTTGTGATTAGGTCAGTTTATGGAGAACCACTATTGGTACATGTAGGTCATTGGTATTTGGTATGTAGATGAATTAGCATTGGCACTTCTCATTTCCATGGAGATTATTTGGCTCTGCCCCCTCAGTCATGGTATATTGACTTAGAAAGTTTTGTATAGTTCACATGTATTAGTTTGTGACTAGATCAGTTTAAGAGGAACCACTAATGTTAGGTCAATGATATTTGGTATGTAGTTGTATAAGCATTTGTAAGTCTCTTCCCCATGGAGATTATATGGCCCCATCCCCTCATCATGGTTCATTGACCTTGAAACTTTTACTTTGTTTACAAGGTAAAGTTTATGTTTTGGTTAGTGTAAACGGCACCAGTTATGATAAGTCAATGGTATTTGGTATGCAGTTTTATAAGCATTGGCATTTCTCATTTCCATGGAGGTTATTTGGTCCTGCACATTAGTTATGGTTCATAGACTTTGAATGTTTTGCTTTGTTTACATATTTGAATATTGCCATTTGGATTCAATATTTGCATTATTCTACAAAATTACAAACAGGCAAGACATATCTCTGTGTCAACAGTTTATTTGATAATTTACTTATCGGACAAGTCCGGACAATACAACTGTTTTAGAAGCCCTGGTCTCAACCTCATTGTTGCCAGTTGTTTTTGCCTGTTTGGGTCACTTGATCTGTTCAGTTTATTCATAGGTTGTTAACACTCTTGGCAATTCAAACACAGTTTGTTATTATGGTATGGACTATGGAGTATGGACACTGGTCAATAGTAGAAATATTTTTTTTTAAGTTTTTATTGTTTGATGCTTACACTGTTTGGTTGCTGTCACTTTGACCTTTACCCAATGAAAAATGACCATGATGACTAAATTATAAAAAATAAAAAATATTTGAATAATGAAAAATCTAATTTCCTAGTTATAAAAGTCTGTGATAATTATCAAGAAGGCATTCCTTAGGATTGATTCAAATTTCTAAAGAATAAAATAAAGAAACAATTTTATTTAGTTAGAAACATTATAAAATTCCATAACATAATTTTCCTTGGACTGATTTATCTCTTACAAATACATGTACTTGTTGATTATTATATTTATCATTGATATTTGATTAAAACATATATAATTAATGTGGTAAAAGAGTCTGTTATTCTAATGATTCAAACAAAAAATTATAAGCATGATATTGCTACATGTAATAGATTTTCTGGGAAATCACAGACAATTCATTTGACAATCAGTTAGTTACTGTTTGATTTATCAAAAATTTATCCAACTGGTCATCAAAAATTTATCCCAATTGGTCAAAACCAATTTAAATGCCTGAAGATTTAGAGAAATTAAGCCAAGGTTACACATACTTTAGAGATATTATGTATACAAGCTAGATCAGAGTTCAAGTGTACTTTTATATTGATTCTTTGGTATTTGTAGTAATAATCTTTGTTAGTCAGTTAATTATAAATATGCAAATAGGGATGCTAGATTACTTTAGCTATAGACAATTATCACATACATATTTTATGGTAATACTTTGTCTACTATAGGAGTATGATACTTTTATCCCTGGATTATAAGTGGCCATTATATTTATGGCATTTTGTTTGCAAGCTGTATTTTATTAAGAGTCCATACACTTTTAGATGTAAAAGGCATTTATAACACATGCTTACGTCATGTTTGACCACATTTTTCATCATTTTTAGAAGTAACACTTTTTTGATTATGGTCTTTCAAATGGTTTATAAAAGTGTTGTTTATACACATATTGCAATAAACATGATAAACTAATCTTTTTTGTACAGAGTTCATATAATGTTACAGTAGCAACTATTTAATGTGTTTACCAAATTTTGTATTGCAAGTGGTCAGTTTTTGTCTCACCTTGACAGAGTCAAAAAGCGAGACATAGGTATGCTGTTTCCGGCGGCGGCAGAGGCGGTTTAACAATATATTAGTTTGTAATTAGGTCTAGTTTAAGGTGAACCACTAGTGGTTGGTCAATGATATTTGGTATGCAGTTGTATTAGCACTGGCAAATCTCGTTTCCATGGAGATTATTTGGCCCTGCCCCCTCAGTCATGGACTATTGACTTTGAAACTTTTGCTTAGTTTACATGTATAAGTTTGTGATTAGGTCAGTTTATGGGGAACCACTAGTGGTAAGTCAATGATATTTGGCATGCAGTTGTTTAAGCATTGGCATATTTCATTTCCATGGAGATTATTTGGCTCCGTCCCCTCAGTCATGGTCTATTGACTTAAAAACTTTTGCTTAGTTTACAGGTATTAGTTTATGATTAGGTCAGTTCAAGGGGAACCATTAGTGGTAGGCCAATGTTAATTGGTATGCATTTTTATAAGCATTACCACATCTCATTTCCATGGAGAATATTTGGTCCCGCCCTCTCAGTCATGGTCTATCTACTTTGAAACTTTTGCTTAGTTTACATGTATTAGTTTGTGATTAGATCAGTTTAAGATGAACCGCTAATGTTAAGTCAATGATATTTGGTATGCAAATTTATTGGCATTTGCTTGTCTTGTTTCCATGGAGATTATATAGCCCCACCCCCTCATCATGGTTCATTGACTTTGAAACTTTTACATAGTTTACAAGTCAATGTTTGTGTTTAGGTTTGTTGAAAGGGAACGACTTATGATAAGTCTATGGTATTTGGTATGCAGTTGTATAAGCATTGGCACATCTCATTTCCATGGAGATTGTTTTGCCATGTACCTTCAGTCATGGTTCATTGACTTTGAATATTTGCATAACTTACATGTTAAAGTATTGCTATTTTGATTTCAACATTTGCATCATCAAAAGTACAAAAAGACAAGACATATCTCTGTGTTAACAGTTTATATTTGGGTTGTTATGAGTTCTTTTTGAAAATGTACATGTATCAAAATTATTAGGGGCCTCGGTGGCCAAGTGATCTAAGTTGTACTACTGTATCACTAGCCTGTCAACCCTGAGGTTGTGAGTTTGAATCTGATCCTGCACATTGTAGTAGGGTTCCAATCCTGCACATTGCAGTAGGGTTCTAATCCTGCACATTGCAGGTGGGTTCTAATCCTGCACATTGCAGGTGGGTTTGACTCAAATCTTGATTGACTAGGATTGGTAGTTTTCCTACCGAATGTCTGTGATCAAATCAATCAAAATTGTTTAGGCAGTACTCAGCCAGAGGTATATCTCAGGAAAAGTTGCAGTAGACAAGAATTTGTATTTTTTTTTTTCAAATGCTTTTGTAACAATTTAAATAGTGTTTATTATTACAAGGACATGGGTTGACGAATGATTGATTTTGGCTGTACATTGTATTGTATCTATTTTGTGGATATGAAAAATGTTCATGGTTAGTTCTACTGTTTTTCCCTGCTTTTCTGAGAAAAGAAACAACAGTACATTTTACTTTTTGAGTTGCAGGATATTTTCCTGTAATATTTGGGGCTGGATGTCAAATAAACTGTTATTTTAGGTTTTCAATCAGTTTTTAATTAGAATTGCAAAAATCCATTTTAAAATATATAAAAAGACATGTTAGGGTTAAATTCTTCAAAACATTATGTAAAAATGTTACCAAAATACTAAGGTGATTTACAAATCAAAGGAGATGTGTGGTAAATATATTAAGGAAGACAGCAACCCAACAAGTTTACCTTAGTAAACATCATATGTTCTTATTTTTACAGAGATTGGTAGAGCAACTTAGAATTAAAGAAGAAAGTCGAGGATTTGTTGGTCAGCCATTAAAGGTAGGTCAAGGTCATGTTAAGCTCTGAACTAGAGATACTGAAACAATTATGTCCATTAAGTCACTTTTCTTGTTAAATATAACAATAATGTAATAAAAAGTGACATGGCACATTAGGTCAATTTAATACCAATATAAGTGCTTTCCAACAAACCCTGTTTTATATATACCTACTGATGAGTTTTCATTGAGATTTGTCAGAATTGGACTGTATCTTATGCTTATTAGTGATAGATAGTTTTTTTCATCAGTTGTTCCATCTCTTCTTGCATTTGTTTTGTTCGTTCGTCCATTCAAGCAAGTCTCACAATAATTAAAGTTTTGCAGACCAATAGATCTTTATGAGATTTGTTTAGATTTTAGTGAATTTCAAATTGGTCATTATGTAACAATAGTGATAGGAATAGTATCATTTAAAATTTCACAATTTTGGAACCAAACAATATTATTCAAGTTTTTCTTATTTGATCTTACAAAATGTTTTCATAATTTGGTTCCATGCAGACAAGTTTCCGTTCTATTTTGATGATTTTCATACAAATTTATAGAGATGTGGGGGTATATCTTAATGAGAGCAACAGAACAAATGCTGTTAATCAAGAGTAATGGGATTTTATTTGTCAAAATATGAACAAATTATGATTTGTATTCTGATAAGTCAATTAATGAAATTTTATAACTATCTAACCGTTCTAACCTATTGATATCATTTGTTAGGTTGCTGATTCATTGACATTTCCCCTAATATCCTTTCATATATATTTATTAAGTTGGATTGGCATATCATATGCTCAAGACGCAGCTGTTTTTATATATATGTGAAAATGAAGGACATACCGTAAAAGAACTAGCTGAAAAAGAATTTTAGCACTAATTCAAGGTCTTTTTTTTTAATTTCTTTTTGAAATGTAAACAACAAAAGTCACCTCTCGGACCAGATTACTACATTGATGTCACATTAGTAATTGGTATTTTAATGTGTTAAGGAAAAAGTAAAGGATTTTATTGAAAATAGCTATTTTAATAAACAACACTGAAGTCAGCTTTCACTTTTCATTACATTAGAAATATTCCTTTTAAAGGTTTGATGTTATGATAATATTATTATTATTTTGATTTTTGCAGCAGCATCTATTACAGAGGAAGCAACCAGTGGTTAGTACGGAGAATTCAAATTCAAGTCTTTCTCCACGATCACAGACAGCAAAACAATGGGGACCAGCAAAACATGCCAATAGAAATGATTTCTATGATCTCATTAGGTAAGAAAACTTCAGACACTGGAACCAGTTCTTAAAATTGGCAATTAAAGTCTGAATCTGAAATCCTGTGTTGGAAAATTGCTGTGCTCTTTGTCTGTTCACAGACCCAAATAAAATTCTTAATGGGTCTATAGTTTTCTTGTCATGATAATGATTTGATTGTCCTCCTTTTCCCATAGAAATTGTGATTTTCAGCCCTATCTCCTTGCAATTTATTTTTAGAAATTATTCCCCAAACTTTCTTTGACATGTTCTCATCCTGAATACATTGTTTTATTACTTTATAATTTAATTTTGAATGTAACACGTCTTCTGATTGGCTGAAAGTTTTTGTCTATCAGCTCATAGACATAATTTTGTCATGTGACCGTGACGTCATCAACATTTTTGTCGAGCCTTCGACTTTTGTCGAAAAAGCGAGACATAGCGATCCTACATTCCGTCGGCGTCGGCGGCGGCGGCGGCGTCCACAAATATTCACTCTGTGGTTAAAGTTTTTGAAATTTTAATAACTTTCTTAAACCATCCTGGATTTGTACCAAACTTGGACAGAAGCTTGTTTATGATCATAAGATAGTATCCAGAAGTAAATTTTGTAAAAATAAAATTCCATTTTTTCTGTATTTTACTTATAAATGGACTTAGTTTTTCTGCCAGGAAACATTACATTCACTCTGTGGTTAAAGTTTTTGAAATTTTAATAACTTTCTTTAACTATCCTGGATTTCTACCAAACTTGGAAAGAAGCTTGCTTATGATCATAAGATAGTATCCAGAAGTAAATTTTGTAAAAAACAAATTCCATTTTTTCCGTATTTTACTTATAAATGGACTTAGTTTTTCTGCCAGGAAACATTACATTCACTCTGTGGTTAAAGTTTTTGAAATTTAAATAACTTTCTTTAACTATCCTGGATTTCTACCAAACTTGGAAAGAAGCTTGCTTATGATCATAAGATAGTATCCAGAAGTAAATTTTGTAAAAAAAAAATTCCATTTTTTCCGTATTTTACTTATAAATGGACTTAGTTTTTCTGCCAGTTAACATTACATTCACTCTGTGGTTAAAGCTTTTGAAATTTTAACAACTTTCTTAAACTATCCTGGATTTGTACCAAACTTGGACAGAAGCTTGTTTATGATTAAAAGCTAGTATCTTGAAGGAAATTTTGTTAAAATTTTGTTCCATTTTTTCTGTATTTTACTTATAAATGGACTTAGTTTTTCTTCCAGTTAACATTACATACAGTCTGCAGTTTAAGTTTTTAAAACATTTATTAGATTCATAAACTATCCTGGATTTTTAACAAACTTGGACAGAAGCTACTTACAATCAAAAGATAGAATAGAGAGGAATATTTTTATTAAATTTTTTTTTAACAGCAAAAGTAGGCGAGACACTGGGTTCCGCGGAACCCTTACGAATTTTTTTTATGATTTACTCCTTAAAAATGGAATTAAGAATTAAATTATAAGGAATGACTGTAATATTTTTTCTGTCTATTCGACAAAAAATGTGGTGCACACTTTTAAATAACCTGCTACGCCGGTTATTCAGTGTGCACCACATTTTTGATATTATTTCTTCATAGACAGAAAAAATATTATAATCATTCCTTGAATAATGCTGCTGTTCATGTCTATTTATGGTCATATAGCTCTTCAACTGTTTTAGTCTTATACATGCTTGGTTTTCAAATGTTTGGGTTTGAGCTTTTGTGATGAAGGTTAATCCAGAAAAGCACTTCAGACTCACAAAAATCTAGAAAAGCACTTTAGGCTCACAAAATTCATTAAGTGTTATTTTGAATAATATTTTTTTTAGATTCATGGGCAAAAATGGCTAGTATCAAACCTCTTGCTTTTGAAAGCTGTTATAAACTGTAGATTTATTAATGATGTTTGTTGTTTAGATTCAAACTAATAGCGTTTATTGAGGATGTCTTTCTTAAAAGATAATGTATACTACATAAAAAATATGGAAAAAAAAGACCAGTAGATGTGTGTGATTTATGATTCTAACATTTAGAAAATTTGAATTTTTAAAGGGATTCATATCTGGATTTTTCATGCAAAATATATGTATAAAAATGATTGTTAAACTTTGTGAAAACTGTAAGGAAATAACCAAAATTATTGAGTAACATAGTGGTTGTTTTTGTTTTATCATTGCAAATAAATAAGAAGATGTGGTATGAGTGCCAATGAGACAACTCTCCATCCAAGTCACAATGTGTAAAAAGTAAACAATTATGGGTCAAAGTACAGCCTTCAACATGGAGCCTTGGCTCACACTAAACAGCAAGCTGTAAAGTCCCCAAAATGACTAGTGTAAATCAATTCAAACAGGAAAACCAATGGCCTAATCTATATAAAAAACGAGACACGAGAAACACTTATGAACCACACCAACAAACGACAACCACTGAACAACAGGCTTCTGACTCAGGACTGGTGCATACAAATGCAGCTGGTTTAAACGTTTTTACAGGCGCATAGGAAAAAGTCAGAGGGTTGCAAAGTATTAGGGAAAAGTAAAAAAAAACATCAGAAGAAGAAAACATCCTTACATATAATATTTATTATTTTGAGACGCATATATGTACTTTCTATGGTTTACGTTCAAGGACTATCTCAATTCAGAATTTCTATTTAAAGTATCAATTTAAATAACTGTATTTGAAGAAATTTGTTTTTGATATATTGCTCTTTTATATGGGATCAAATGATCAAAAACAAATTATTAAGAACTGGCAAGCTTTAATCAGACATAAAACTTGATATCCTATCACTTGATTTACTTTGAATATTTTGCATTCATGATTGATAATTGATTAAGTTAAGGTAAATAAAAATGTATTTAACAAACATACCTAATTGATATGTTTTGAAGTATTATATGACCTTTTTTTGTTGTTGAATTGTAAACATTTTTCTTATTAAAACATTTGATGATTATAATACCCCTTAGCTGTATATAATATCATTCTTGGAAGATCCTTGAATAATGAAAATAAATACTTTCATTATGAAAATAAAAAAGAACTTGTACAGCCACTACATATGAAAGGTTAAATCACCAAAATCTAAAAAAAAAACCAACATAAATATGATATGTGGAACTCTGATAAATTTATTAATGATTATGTTACTTGAAGCAAGGTGTAGAAGCACTTGAGGTATTTTATTCAACAGCCAACACTTGTATAAAAAGTGTCTGTAACAATCTAGTGCTGACCAACATTTTTAATACTGCCACATTCTTTAAGTGCCTGTCCTAAATCAGGAGCCAGTAATTATGTGGTTGTCGTTGGTTTAGTTCTGTCATATTTGTTTTTCTTCAAGTGTATTACTAGTCCTTTCATATGAATTGTTTTACATTTCATGCTAGCACCTTTTATAGCTAACTATATGGGATGGGCTTTTCTCATTGTTGAAGGCCTTACAGTGACCTATGATTGCGTATATCTTTGTCATTTCAACTCTGGTAGATAGTTGTCTTATTGGCAATCCATACCACATCATCTTATTTTTGAATAAAAAAATTGACCATTGGAAAGTAAATTTGTTTAAGACAAAATGTTTATGTTTCACTTTTTAGCTCACCTGGCCTGAAGGGCCAAGTGAGCTTTTCTCATCACTTGGCGTCCGTCGTCCGTCGTCATCGTCGTCGTTAGCTTTTTACAAAAATCTTCTCCTATGAAACCACTGGGCCAAATTTAACCAAACTTGGCCACAATCATCATTAGAGTTTCTAGTTTAAAAATTTTGTCTGATGACCCCGCCAACCAACCAAGATGGCTGCCATGGCTAAAAATAGAACATAGGGGTAAAATGTAGATTTTGGCTTATATCTCTGAAACCAAAGCATTTAGAGTAAATCTGATGTAGGGTAAAACTGATTATCAGGTCAAGATCTATCTGCCCTGAAATTTTCAGACAAATCTGACAACCTGTTGTTGGGTTGCTGCCCCTGAATTGGTAATTTTAAGGAAATTTTGCAGTTTTTGGTTTATTATCTTGAATATTATTATAGATAGAGATAAACTGTAAACAGCAATAATGTTCAGCAAAGTAAGATCTACAAAAAAGTCTCCATGACCAAAATTGTCAGTCGACCCCTTTAGGAGTTATTGCCCTTAATAGTCAATTTTTAACAATTTTTCGTAAATTTTTGTAATCTTTTACAAAAACTTCTTCTCTGAAACTACTGAGACAAATTTAACCATACTTGGCCATAATCATTATTAGGGTATCTAGTTTAAAAAATTTGTCCGATGACCCTGCCTTCCAACCATCATGGCCGACTTGGTTAAAAATAGAACATAGGGGTAAAATGCAGTTTTTGGTTTATATCTCTGAAACTAAAGCATTTAGAGCAAATCTGACAGGTGGCAAAAATGTTCATCAGATTTAGATTTATCTACCCTGTAATTTTCAGACGCATCTGACAACCCGTTGTTGGGTTGCTGCCCCTGAGTTAGTAATTTTACAGAAATTTTGCAGTTTTTTGTTATTATCTTAGATATCATTATAATATCTATTATCTAATACTATTAATTATGCTTTTAACCTTATTTTACATGATTTCCAAAGCATCAGTAAATATAGGTGAGCGACAAAGGCTCTTGAGAGCCTCTAGTTTATTTAGTTATTTTCTCCCATAAAATCACTTAAAATAAAAAAACTATTATTTTATTTATTTTCAGGACAAATCCTAGAAACTTTACAGTTGTGGTAAATAATGGAGTGACAAGGTCAGAGAATTTATCTGGTTTAGCAAGTTACGATGAGGGGAATAATAGTGATGGCATGTATGCTGAAGCATTGGCAGATGAGGTGACAAAGATATCTACACATGATGTAGAAGATTCAGCTTTAGAGGACTGTTTTAGACATGTTTGCAAGGTGATAAATAGTTTTTAAAAGAAAAGAGGTTAAAAGATGTCATGATATATGTACTTGATACACAGTGGATTCATTATTATTTGTGGGTTTAGGGAAACCATAGATTTAATAATTCAACTAAGTATAAATTTTCCATAGGCTTGTATACAATTTTTTGCAAAACTACGAAATTAAATATCCATGAAAATACCATTTTTTCTCTCCATCCTTTGAAAATTGGTACCAACAAAAATAAGTGAATTCACAGTACATTTGTCTAAATCAATGAAATGTATCATTAGTTTAGATTTCCAGCTTTGATTGGCTCAAAGTATGAATAAAAGGAGATGTTGGGTTTATGTTAATGAGACAGCAACCAAACAAAAAAGATAACCTTGACACTTCTAGAGGGCAACATACAGTCTTCAAAGATACAGGTTTTTGTCATTGAAAGCCATACAGTGACCTATAATTGCATTTATATCTTTGAGTTTATTTATATCTTTGTCATTTGAACTTTGGTGAATAGTTGTCTCATTGCATTCATACCAGATCTTCTTTTTCTATTTTCGACAATAGACAGAATTCTATACAAATTGTCAAGCTATAAATAGTCCTTAGTCTTCAAAAGTTGTGAATAAATTTATCAAAAACAATCAGATGCCAATGGCCTATTTTACAGGAGGTCATAGGTTTTAAACCTATCTGATAGCACCAAAGATTGTGAAATTGGTATTTGCTGCTTAAAAATTGGTTTACTTATTTTCAGAATGATCAATATGATAGTTTGATATATATTCCAGTTGACTATTATCTTTTGAGCTATGTAGCTGAAAATCCTCCTCAAAATGCAAGGTATACAATTACCAATGAGACAACTATCCACCAGGGACCAAAGTAAGAGGATGAAAACAATTATAGAAAACTGTACATCCTTCAACAATGAGCAAAATCCATCCTACATAGTTAGCTATAAAAGGCCCAGCATTACAAAATGGAAAACAATTCATAAGGGAAAATCCAATGTCTTATTTATGCTTAAACAATAAATGGAAATCAAATACGGCAGACGGCAAACAATGACAACCACTGAATGACTTGTTTCTGACATGTTATTGTCCTGAATATATTGCCTCTGCATGTCAAGCAGCAATTATTCTATCATTCTATAGATTTCATGCAAAGAAATCATTTATATACAAAATGAAAATAATGACACTAAATAAATTTGGTGTGTTTGGATTGAAGATCTTTTTCTGTCATTTACCTTCGTCGGAAACACTCAAAACCAAAAAACTGAAGCCGTTTAAATGTATAAATGTATGAATGTATAAATGTATAAATGTATGAATGTATAAATGTATAAATGTATAAATGTATAAATGTATGAATGTATAAATGTATAAATGTATAAATGTATAAATATATGAATGTATGAATGTATGAATGTATTAATGAATGTATGAATGTATTAATGAATGTATGAATGTATTAATGTATAATGTATAAATGTATAAATGTATGAATGTATGAATGTAGAATGTATGAATGTATGAATGTATGAATGTATAAATGTATAAATGTATAAATGTATGAATGTATGAATGTATAAATGTATAAATGTATAAATGTATAAATGTATGAATGTATAAATGTATAAATGTATGAATGTATGAATGTATAAATGTATAAATGTATAAATGTAATGTATAAATGTATAAATGTATAAATGTATAAATGTATGAATGTATAAATGTATAAATGTATAAATGTATGAATGACTAAGTGTGTGGAGCAATATGACCAAAAGTGTCTCAGTATATTGAAAGATGAATGTCAAAATAAACATGATATTGAGTCTGAATTCATTGATCTGAATAAAAGGAGATTTGGGTTCAGCAACACAAGATACAAAAATTTCCAAAGGAATCTAGAGGTCAGATAACAGTTTTCAACAACACTTGTAGAAATAACTCATGCCACAAGAAACTTACTTAGAGTATCAATTATTGGATATTTTGGGCCTACATCCATGAGACAGCAACAAAACAACACAAACATTACCAAAACATGATCTAAAGGAATACACATGTGTATATATAATTGTCAAGCTCTTAATGAACCAAGTCTCAAAAGGTTGTGCATAAACTAAAAAAAAAACCCTGATGCTAGCAAAGTTTTTGTGTTATTTAGTACCTGTGTGGAATGAGGTTTTTCCCACTTCTATTTTAATTCATTAACATTAGAAATTTATGTAATTAATTGTAGATTAACGTAATAAATTTCCATTCATCTTGTAAAGAAAATCATTCCCAATCAAATTTTCTCTGGGCACTCCTGCACCAACAAGCACTCCAGCTTCCTCCATAAATAAAAACTGGCAGCCATGATATATCAAAGGGCACTGAAAGTGGCTATAAATATCAACAAACAAATAAACAAACAAACATTCTCAATCAGTACAGGACTGTTAGTATTTTGTTTTAAATCATAGTTTTAGGGCCATATTCAGCTTATGCAATTCTAGAAAAAAGATCTATAAAATTGTAATTGCATACACATTTACCAATTAACTGTTTTCATTAATTTGGATTTCATGCACACACAAAAATTGTTCTCTTGAGGTATCTTTGGAGCATGAAATTAACATCCAATCTAAAGAAGAATTACTTTCAGGAAATGAATACAGTTCTACAACTTCCAATATTTAAATGTTATTTCAGGGTAAAGTAGAAAATATGCAGACATTATTACCATACAGGAAGACACAGCAATTAAACAGATCACAAACTGCATTTAGTACAGGTTTTACTGTAAGGTAAGATTGCAATTACAGATTAACATTGTGCTATGCTGTCAGTCAGACAAAAGTTTCATTGATTTGATTTCAAAAAGATACAGGCAGATTTGATCAATGAAAATTTCCTAGATCCATTCAACAATCATAGATGTCCTTCTTATTAACTGAAAATAGGGCATTACATCAATGTTGGTCATTTACTTAAGCCATTTTTTGGACCATTTGTTGTTTGATGGTGCCCTTTTAAATCCATGGTTGAAATTCTGTAAATACTATGAATGGTACTTTTTTCCAAAATGTTTTATTAAAATCTGTGAAAATTGATTGATGTAACAAATTTAAACAATATGATCTCATGATGGTCCTTATGAATTGTGTCAGAAGATGTTGCTTGCCAACCAAGATGGCTTCCTTTGAAATAGAAATTGAATCAGTATTATGCAAAGGTGTTAGATAAACCATGCAAGTGATGTAAACTTATTGTATAAAGCTTTATATTTCAGAAGGTAGAATTCTTGATGGTGCATACCTTGTATGCAGATACCTTATGTGACGAAGTTTCCATCTGTCATATGTCCATTGTCCTTGACCTCATTTTCATGGTTCAGTGACTGCTTGAATAAAAATTATAGTTTTTTTGTCATGTGAATATCTCTCTATTGGTATATTGGTTCCTTGCAATGTCTACATGTCAGTCAGACAGAGTTCACCTGACCTTGACCTCATTATATGGATCAGTGATCGAGGTTAAAGCTGCATGATTAGGGTCGTATCTCAGATACTATAAACAGTAGGTTAACTATCTGTGGAGTATGTATTGTATAATTGTAAGGGTTGCATGTCAGTCTGGCAGGTTTCATCTGACCTTTACATTATTTTCATGGTTCATTGGTCAATCAATGTTAAGTTTTTGTGCTTTGGTCAGTTTTTCAAATACTTAAAGCAGTATGTCAACTATATTTGGTGTATGGAATGATTGTAAGGTGTACATGTCTGTCTGGCAGGTACAATCTGACCTTGATTTCATTTTCCTGGTTCATTTGTTAATGTTAAGTTTTTGTGTTTTGGTCTATTTTTCAAATACTATAAACAGTAGGTCAACTATATTTGGTGTATGGGATGATTGTAAGGTGCACATGTCTGTCTGACAGGATTTATCTGACCTTGACCATTAAAAATGTTAAGTTTTTGTGATTCTTGCACTAAAATCTTTATCTTTAAGACATTCAGCATAAAATCAATGGTCAGTTAAACAGCTGAGGCATTTCAGAATGTGCACTCTTGTTCATTTTTTATGGGAAAGGAGGGGAAATTACTGTAACTTGTTGAATTTCTAAACTCTAAAAATGTTTTGAATGGTTTTCTTCTTTTTTTGTTGAACAGGAGTTACAGAAATCCCAAAAGTGCAGAAATAATGGCTAACTTTAATCAAACTGGACGTCCAAAAACAGTACCATCACAGCCAAGTCGACCACTGGTACCCAGTCCCTATTTCTTTAGATATTATAGTAACCCGTATACAAAATATTCATTAAGTGCTAAAAATGGAAGGACTACTCCATCTTCTAAGTTTGAAAGTAAGTTTTTTTTTGTTTCTTGGTAATTTGATGAATTGTAGAAAAAGTTATTTTGATGAAAAATTGAAGAAAAATGACAAGATGAAATTCAATTTAGATGATTTCTGATCATAGATGTGAACTTTTCAAATCTGTGTTGTTAGCGTGATTTATTATAGGAAAACTCTTTTAATTTATGTGGGAGTATTGCTCTAGAACCTATTTTACCAAATTTTTTAATGGTATATATTTTACAGATAGATAATTAGATTTAAAAAAAACATCATGATTAGCATTCAAATAAATCCATGTATAAGTGAATTACCTTCTTAGCTAGATTTGACCCAATTTAATATGTAAGTGAGGAAACAATGTTTTGTCAATGAATAATGGATAATCCATTACTTTTAGAGTAGAACAAAATCTAATTGTAAAAAGGGGGGTAATATTTGAAGATTTTTTTCTCAAGAATTTAAGATTTCACCTCCCTGCGGATATATCAGTCATTAAATACAGATTTCAAATTAGAAAAAAATAAAGAGAGCTTTTCACTAGCATTTGAAGAATCTGCAACTTCAAATTTCTTATCAAGTCCTATGATACAGTCCTACGATGTGTTCTATGATTAATCCAATAACTGTGAGAACATTCTTGTCAGACAAAACTACGTGGAAAGGAAATGAGTAGTAATTGTAAATGTAAGAGAAGTTAATAAGATACCACATATCAGCATATATTGCGGTATCTTCATATGACCTACATATTCTATTTCCATATAAGGACATGGTGAGATAAGGGCATTGTTTGTCCTAGTTTTTCACTGAAAGATGTACTTTTGATTAAGATTTCTATTTACGTCTGCAGAGATAATAACTAAGCCAAGTATTGACACTTTCATTGTAATGACGTCCTGATAAATGTGATTATGAAGTTATAGAAAAAACATCATAAGAGTTTTCCTTCGAAAAAACTTGAAACATGGATTTTGGTTGACTTACCTTTTATAGCCCACTTAGGAAGATCAAAAGGGATTGAGATTTAAAAAGCATTTTCTTTTCATTCATTTTGAAAACAGATTCTACCACTTTACTCAATAGAATACAATACTTAACATCTCTTGATGATTAAATTTTGAATTTTCTAATTGCTTGGCAACCCTTGCATTTTAAATTTCAAATTTACTATTAAGAGTTGATATTAAATATCATAATTATCACATTATTGGTGTGAAATATATATACTAGAGTAATGAATAAATAAGTTCTTTCAATTTCATAGCTACTTTGTATTGATATATGCACACAAGTCTTCAGATAGCAGTCATGTTTTGTGCTTAGAAATATTAACAACAGAATATATAAATTTTATCATCATAAGGTTAATTCCTTTTTACTTTGTAATATTTTAATTTATGTCAAAAGTGCAGAAATAATGGCTAACTTTAATCAAACTGGACGTCCAAAAACAGTACCATCACAGCCAAGTCGACCACTGGTACCCAGTCCCTATTTCTTTAGATATTATAGTAACCCGTATACAAAATATTCATTAAGTGCTAAAAATGGAAGGACTACTCCATCTTCTAAGTTTGAAAGTAAGTTTTTTTTTGTTTCTTGGTAATTTGATGAATTGTAGAAAAAGTTATTTTGATGAAAAATTGAAGAAAAATGACAAGATGAAATTCAATTTAGATGATTTCTGATCATAGATGTGAACTTTTCAAATCTGTGTTGTTAGCGTGATTTATTATAGGAAAACTCTTTTAATTTATGTGGGAGTATTGCTCTAGAACCTATTTTACCAAATTTTTTAATGGTATATATTTTACAGATAGATAATTAGATTTAAAAAAAACATCATGATTAGCATTCAAATAAATCCATGTATAAGTGAATTACCTTCTTAGCTAGATTTGACCCAATTTAATATGTAAGTGAGGAAACAATGTTTTGTCAATGAATAATGGATAATCCATTACTTTTAGAGTAGAACAAAATCTAATTGTAAAAAGGGGGGTAATATTTGAAGATTTTTTTCTCAAGAATTTAAGATTTCACCTCCCTGCGGATATATCAGTCATTAAATACAGATTTCAAATTAGAAAAAAATAAAGAGAGCTTTTCACTAGCATTTGAAGAATCTGCAACTTCAAATTTCTTATCAAGTCCTATGATACAGTCCTACGATGTGTTCTATGATTAATCCAATAACTGTGAGAACATTCTTGTCAGACAAAACTACGTGGAAAGGAAATGAGTAGTAATTGTAAATGTAAGAGAAGTTAATAAGATACCACATATCAGCATATATTGCGGTATCTTCATATGACCTACATATTCTATTTCCATATAAGGACATGGTGAGATAAGGGCATTGTTTGTCCTAGTTTTTCACTGAAAGATGTACTTTTGATTAAGATTTCTATTTACGTCTGCAGAGATAATAACTAAGCCAAGTATTGACACTTTCATTGTAATGACGTCCTGATAAATGTGATTATGAAGTTATAGAAAAAACATCATAAGAGTTTTCCTTCGAAAAAACTTGAAACATGGATTTTGGTTGACTTACCTTTTATAGCCCACTTAGGAAGATCAAAAGGGATTGAGATTTAAAAAGCATTTTCTTTTCATTCATTTTGAAAACAGATTCTACCACTTTACTCAATAGAATACAATACTTAACATCTCTTGATGATTAAATTTTGAATTTTCTAATTGCTTGGCAACCCTTGCATTTTAAATTTCAAATTTACTATTAAGAGTTGATATTAAATATCATAATTATCACATTATTGGTGTGAAATATATATACTAGAGTAATGAATAAATAAGTTCTTTCAATTTCATAGCTACTTTGTATTGATATATGCACACAAGTCTTCAGATAGCAGTCATGTTTTGTGCTTAGAAATATTAACAACAGAATATATAAATTTTATCATCATAAGGTTAATTCCTTTTTACTTTGTAATATTTTAATTTATTTTGAATAATTATAATATAATTTAACTTTGTGTATCACATTTTATAGTTTGTAAGTTGCTGTTTGAAGTTTTTTGTTATTTTATTTTCAATCTTTAAAAATTAAAAGGGAAATAACTCAATGAAATATCTGTAGCATATCTCTTTACCAAGGTTTGCATTGATGATTGAAATTTGATAAGCAGCTAATTTCCAAATGTGTCACTGATTTAAATTCTCCTTAGAGAGCATTATACATTGTATATAAAAGAAAGAAATAGTAATAAACATTTCTTTTTTATTTTTATTTTACAGTTAAAATAAGTAAGTCCTATCACCTTTAAACTAAAAGGCTGTTTGTTCATTTCACGATTGTTTATCTATTCATAGTAACAGTCTGTTAAAATGCAAACATCAATCAATCATTTTCTCAAATATATTTAAAAAGCTGTCATTGCAATAACACTTGTTGTGGGCTATGGCCATGTTTAGCAGTCACCAATCAATCAATCAATCAATCATTTAAATGCAAGGGAAATAACTCAAGGAAATTATTACAGTTCCTGAGATTCATTATTATTGATGGGGTACTAAATTTTCATGGACTATTTTTGTAAAGATTTTCCACAAATTTAAATGTTCAATGATGATGATGATGGAAGGCTGGATATTTAGCAATCACCAATCAATCAATTATTTAAGCGCAAGGGAAATAACTCAAGAAATTTTTACAGTACTGTGGGTTCATTATAATCATGGGGTACTAACAATTTTTGGATTATAAGGGTTAAGGTGATCTACAAATTTAAATGTTCAACGATAATTATAGATGGATGGAAAGCTGTTTAACATCCAGTGGCAATTTAAATTCAAATTCAGGACGAGCATATATTAATGAGATCTGACTATGAACCCTGATTGTACTAGACCAACACACTGAGCCAGATTTTAAAGAGGTAGTTCACAAGGTAACAGTCTCCAGGAAGACATGTCATCACCCTTTCACATTTTTCTGACTCTAGTTGACCAGTCTGCTCTTACTCCTTAATGCCACATGCTAATCAGAGAGCAGAAAATACTAATTTAAAAGTCTTAGTTTGACCTGTCCAGGGTTCAAACCCACAACCACCCCCACTCGAGGTGGCTAGACTAGGTGGCGGTAAGTGTTTCACCAAATATAGGCGGTGACATATCATAAATAAAAACCATTAAATCTTCTATCAGCGACAATGCAATTTTCCTTCATCCACGAAAATTGGTACATACGAAAAATAAACGAAATCACAGTATTACACTCAACATAAGGGTTTACATTGATGAGTTGCATTGTCAAGAAAGCATCAAACTATATTCATAATATTATCACATCTCTGCCCAATACACACATTCTTTGAGTGAAGCATGGATGTATATATAGTGATCATCTTGTTCGTACAAAGTCAGCATAAACCTTTCATCATATACTGCAACAGTTATGAAGATGGCACTGATTATTAAGTCTCAATGAAATTGTGTTTAACGATAGACAAGGACTTAATAGAGGAGGACACCTGTCTCTATTGTTTTACCTAAAAGTAAAGTTATTAACCATGATTAAAAAGGTTTTTAATACCTTTTTTTAAGTAAAAAAAAAAAGTTGCACACAGTAATTGGGTTTGTTTAATGCCTAGAGCAGTTAACAGCGTTAATCATTCATGTCTCTCAATTAACTTGAAAGTGCATAGTTCTCCCCAGACTTGCTTCTGCATCTTTGAGCTTCTTGGAACCAAAATGTTTTGCTGAAAAGACAATTTTCATTTCAACAACATCTATATTTTAGTTACTGGTATATAAGTTAAATTGCCACTTATGATATAAAAAAAAATATATGTTTTTTTTTTAATTGCTATGACCTTGAATATATAAAAGTGGCAATCTAGAGTGTCAATTATGTAGGTGTCAATTGCCCAGGTGTCAATTGCCCTGGTAGTGATAACTGTTCAGATAAGATGACATCAAACATGGTGCTTTGCTTGTAACGTCAATTGGCATTTCATTTGCCTCTAAAAAATCTCACAT